AAAAACACCGCATTTTTTGAGGCGAAGCTGACCCCATTGTAATATGACCCTTATTTATCCGCGCTACAACATTGAGGAAAGGCTTTCGTAGCGCCTTTTAGATTTTTTACAGATATGATCATGTAAGAGATTATGTCCATCGAAAAATCCCACTCTTCCGGATTTTCACAGGTCTCGAAGTAATTCAACGGATCCGTGAAGTCATTTTCCGTATCATTCAACAGTTCCCTCAGCAGATCTCTTTGAGATTCCGTTTCAATGAACGCTTGTGGTGCAGTCTGGTCCTGAAACGAAAATTGCAAAATTTCGGGGAAATGACAGTAGGGGCTGCTAAGCGGCTACACAATTGCTACAGCTCTAAAAGAATCAACTCATGTAACACAAATAAATACTGAAAATTTGGGCAATTAGACGAACAGACGGAACGTCTGGTCCAAACATATTGCGATGTGGCATACCGCGCTGCCGCGTGGCACCCCCCAGCTATCTTAACCCAATTTTTCCTATGAAATCTACTATCTATAATGAACGCACCATGACGTAAAGTTGAGGAATTCGACAAAAGTTCAAAAACCGATCATGGAGCATTGTGAATGTCGGCCGAGACTCCGGATTTGCCATCCAACCTGAAAAGGCATATGAGAATTAATTGCGACGTATAACTTTCTGTTTTAAAGGTACGATTAAACTTAGATTTGTTTTACATTTCAGATTAGCTTCAGTACGATTCCCAGAAGCGTGTGGCAGCAGATTCTCCTTGGTTGACCTCTTACAAAGAAAGAAAGGAAATTGATCAAAAGAAAAACTCACACTGTAGCAAGACTTGGTAGAGTTCCGAAGAACAGTTGCTGGGCTGCGACAGACGGTTTCCTTCTTTGAGGAAATTCTTTATAGCACAAATATCCATACCTTGATAGGGGCTCTGAAAATATTAGCATAATTTTCGTGGCCTGATAATGGGAGGCATGGCACATCATTGGAGAGGATTCCCCGTGAGGCCTATACTTCAGATGCTAGGGAAGAAGGATCATGTGGGATTGGTGAGAAGAGTTGAGAGGATCCATGGGAGTCAGCAGGTATCATCCTGGAACGAAACTCATCAAGGGTTGGATCGCGGGGGGACGGGAAAGGATGCAATTGGCCTGGATGAGCTTTTTGATCAAAGATCTCCTCAAGGATCCTCTCCGTTTCAAGGCCCACGCGTATCTACGGCCTCGCGCAAGATGGTACGCTGAAGATTAACGTAAGGGGCGGGTAGATAGGTAGGTGAAGGGATCGTACCAGATGAGAAAAACTGGGTAACGGTTGCACTAGTATCGTCAATTCACCCACACCCATGCTGTACCCTGATGGCAATCGGTATGCAAATGGAGCAAGAGAAAAGTTTGAAATTCAGCGGTAAGGGACCCCAGCCCCTCTTAGACGGAAATTCTTGCGTTGCAGCGTATGGGCAGTGGCAGGAGTAGGGATGAGGAGTCGTTCAGACAAGAATTGATTTGGTTTGAAGCACCGGTCTCCGGAGATTTAGTTTCATACTATTTTCACATCCTCAAGGAAATCCAGGGCTTCTTCTCCTCTCCAAAGCACTCCAAGAGACTCACCTGACCAAACGTTAAGATCTCCCAGCAAGTAACACCATACGCCCAGGACAGTCAGTGCTGATGCGTATAGCTCTGATCCCTTAGCGACTCCAACGCTAACCATTTTATCGCAACCTTAATACTTGTTTTTCAAGATGTCATTTTCATTTAACAGATAGTTAAAGAACTTACGGCTTTCCTTCCAATGAGCCTTCATATCTTTCTCCTGACCATAATCGAGAAGTTTTGCCTAGGCCAAAATCAGTCACTTCTACGTGGTTGTGACGTTTTACCAGAACGTTTCGAGCGGCAAGATCGCGATGAATGATACGATGTTCGTACAGGTATTTCATAGCCTGGAGAGGGTGTCTTATAAAGAAGTTGAGCGATATGCGCGGCCCCAGTCTTTGTAGTGTTTTGATAGCGCCAGGGCTAGCGAAGTTCACGGAAATAAACGGTCTACACGAACATTTCTTCTTTTTAAATGCGCGAAAAGCGGGCGTTCATAAATTCGCGACTCGAACAAATCAATCGCGCGGAATTCGGAGGGCTGCATCGAACATCGTCCGCGCTCCATCTGTAAATGGTTGGAGCGTTGGCAATACCAATTCAACCACCATTCTCGTTCTAACAAGCACGCAGCGTTTCAAACCAGTATAGCGTGGGGTGCCGTAAAGATTCCCGAAATTGCTCGAGTCGCGGGGCACAATGGACTTGACCTGAGCTTCAAATGTTCTGAGAGAGAGCTCTGCCTCAAAAAACGATTACTAAAAGCAAGACTTCTATTCCGTGCGAGTGGCATCTATTCGCCCCTTACCGTTCATGCAGCAGATCTCGCAGGCTCAGTTATCACCTAAACCTTCAACACAACATCCTTTATTACTTACTGATGATATCTGGTAGCAGTAGAGTAGAAGATCCTTGCCACACAAATGGGCCTTGTGCTTCTTCAAGAAGTTCAGAAGATTTCCAAGAGGACGTAGAAGTGTAACCTTGAAGAAAGCATCTTATAACTGAAGATCAAAACTGATTCAACTTGATTTCAAAGTACCAGTTGTATTCCCTCTTCGTGCAGACAGATTCCTACCAGACGAAGAAGATGTTCATGCCGAAGTGAGGACATCTGCATGGCTTCATTCAGCATTTCAGTCTCCTTAACGGCGGTTTTGGTGAAACGTTCCAAGAGAAGCCTTAACATGAACTTTCAGCTCACCTCTTTTCCAGTGCAGGTGCCTTTGACAAGTTTGATCGCTAACGGGTACTTTTATCTTCCTTTACCGCTTTCGGGAACCTAGAACCCCCTGAAAGCATAAGTCCTCAACGAGTTCTGTAAGGCATGTTTCGCCTCGGAGGGGATTGAACTTGCTTCAAGAGAGGTGCACTACACGGCTAACATTACAGCTCGTCAGACGACTCCGTGAATTTGGCTGCTTGCCAGTTAGTGTGCTTTTGTGTAGCTCACTAGCAGTATCAGATTCAACACGGCTCATATTTGATCGAATTGAGGATCTGAAGGCAAAGAAAGTTGATTCTTGTCCACGTAATAGGTTCGTTATCCAGTAACTCACCAATAGGAGTCATTTCAGGTATGTCGACATAGTTACTGATCTGCTCCTTCAACAGCTTCCTCTTGAATGTTCGGCAACGCATGCACACGATCTGAAAAAGTGCATTTTTGGAAGATTTTCCGGCGCTAACTCAACTGGAAGGATAGGGACTATGGCGGCGCATCGACGCCTCATCCCTTGCTCAAGGCTCAGGCTAAGCAGAGCCCAGATAGACCAGAGATGATAAGGCATAGTTTTAAGCGGCAGAGCCAGCAGGCGTCGCTGAAGTCGGCCCCTCAACTAAGTTGACGCTAAAATTCTCGGATGCGATTGCAACCGCATCAAAAACTCCGCATTTCAGGGCTTTATTAAGCGCTTCTTTGATACGAAAAGTAGTGAGAATCATACCATCATAGCGACAACCAGTAGTGTGAAGATAGCGACCAGTGTTGCTGCAATAATCTTCGATCGTCGTTCGCGTTCCTTCTTGAGGTCCACACGATTACACATCTTGAACTCGTCCAGGTACGGGAACTCTTCGGGACAATCCGCCAAGCACACCTGAAGTATAGCTCCGTTACTCGGCTGCACTTGCTGCGCTTTTTCCTTCATACTTATAGACCCTAGCTAATTCAAGACACCGTTTGGGATTAGCTAGTGGGTGGAACGAGGAAGTGAAGTCGGGAGATGGGCAAGAGAATCGTAAATTGCCGTCGTCGCGCGCGGCAATGGGCGCGACGTTTCCTTAATTTGCACTACCCTTTCGATTGGAGCATCGGATTTCATGTAGACAAGGACATGGTAGACACTTATGTCTATTTTTGGTCATACATTGTCTATTCTCGACCAATACCACCTGAAATCGTCGTCATTAGCGGGCGCGACGTCGCACGCGACGCCCACTGGCGCGGCGAATTACGATTCTCTTGCCACATACCCACGAAGTAATTAGCACGTCATCTCTCCTCCCACCTCGGTGGTTAAGAGAACTGGCAGAGAAAGTGTGCACCACTGGCGAAATTTCCTTACTCCGCCTACCAGGCAATCCCCAACGATGACTTTGATGCGCCATCGGAATGTCCCTCTACACAGAAAGACAATCAGAAAATACAATGAGGAGTGACTAAAAGCCAGCTGTGTTAGCAAACTGATGACAGCTCCTGTTCACAACGAAAGCTCTCACCCACTGGACTTATTGTTCACTCGAGAAAAAGAAATGAAAAAGCCAAAAGTCCCACAGTTTAGTGTATGGCCTTTTGGAAACTTACGTTCGGTTCTCCAGCCAACGTTGCATGCATGCACTGATTGCATTCAGAAGCTGTCGGTCCGGTACATCCATGCCCACGATCGCAAAGATGATGGCAGCTGAAACAAGGAGGGGTAACACAGTCCATATCCGAGAGCAACAAAAATGGGGAAGTGGTAACGCAGTTTAGATCGGAGAGCAGTTTTTTTAAGAACCGTTTTGTAAGATATTTTACTTTGACTTGCGTAGTTACATTTGTGCGAGAAGCGGCGTTGTGCAGAGTTTGAAGAAGCAAACTGTCGCTAGAACTCCGCGGCATTTTTTCCTGTTCCTAGTCATGTGCGAGCATTAAGATGGCAAAGTGTAGCGGGAGGAGATCGTGATTGCCTAGATCACCGTCGTCCATATCCCGCTTACGCTGCCGCACGGCCAGCACACGCCACAAGCCTACCGAAAGCGCCCGCTTGTGGTTGTTCGCCTACGATGAATGACGTGGTTTGAGCTGCAACGACCAGACTGGTATCGAACGGCAAGTGCTATCACATTGAGCATAAGTCGCAGGCTAGAGTCGGGTGACCGGTATTTGGGCCAACGACTAACTAGGATCACGAAAAGTGCAGCGTACAGTTGTCTGCAAGTTTTTAAGTAAGCATCAATACTTTTGCAGATCCCGGCGTTGGGATCCATTCGGTTGCTGTGCGACATAGTGAGACTCGAAGCACCGGTCAAAACATACGGAGTCCTTCGCCACTTCGTTAGCGTAACCTGAACGACAGCTATCTATCCGCGCTAGTTTCATAAGTTCTCGGTGTATACTGAAGATCAACTGTTACGTAAGGAGGCTTATGGAAGCACTAGGGCAGGCATATGCGCTGGTGAGAATGCTGGATAATTCGCAAGTTGCTCCTTACTATATACCCACTGCATGTACTCTGATTGCCCCTGCAAACGAGAAGGTGCGTGGATCGGAGCGCGAGCCAGTTCAGGGCGCTAGGCGGCGTAAGTGAGATCATTAGCGAGGGATGGATGCCGTTTTTGTTGCTGTGAGAAGAAGGGGTTTTGTATCTGCTCTGAGGAAAATTCTTGGTTTGCAGTGCATTACACATTCCCTGGAGAATTATTCGGAAAATAAAAACTCAGGAAAAGTGGCAGGAAGCTGGGGAAATTCAGGAAAATGGTAGGTAGAATGTAGGGCATGCGGAACGGGATGGCGATCGTTCCAGAGCTGGAAGTTTTGACGCTTTGACCACGTATTTGACCAAAAATTTTTCCGAACGGCACATATGATTGTACTAGGCGAATTTTGCCACAACATGATGTATCCTGACGTCTGCGAAGTATTAATGTAAAAGGTTGCCCTGGCTGTCTCTCGATCCATTTGCTTCACATGCCCCTTTCGGTTTGCGGGGAACTTGGCCCAATACCGTGAGGAGATCGTCGTATAATGAGGTTACAAGGAGGAGGCAGTATACGGCTTGCGCGGTCCAGAAAGTGAATGTTTTGGAAAAACAATGAGGACCTGTTCACCGCTTTCAGTTTTGGACAGCTCACCCCTCCCCCTTCCACCTTTTCCCGACCGACAGAGAAATCGGAGGTGAGAGTAGGTGACGGAGGACTTCCCAACTGAAGACGGGGGAGAGGTGAAGGGTTTTATCAGTGGCAAAGGTGAATTTGCGAACAAGCGGAATCACCTTTACAGACACATCCGTTCGCTATGACGTTCCGACCGGCTGATGTACATGAAACGCATTGTTCATCGCATGGATCACAGTGCTGAAATTTTTTCAATGGATTAACTCCAACTCGTACTTTGGAGGTGGTTTTCAGTATTGAGAAAACGTCTGATAGGTTTCGCCTTTCCCTCTCACTGATGCATCTTGTTACGAGATCATTTTATGTTGAAATAAGACACTGTACCTTCTCTTTGTTCTCAAATTCCAGCAAAAAAATATAAAAAATAAAAATACCGCGGAAAAAACTCATGTCGAGAAGAGCGTTCAGAGTTTCAAGATGGGTGGAGCCAGGCGATGACATCATTGGTGCGTCTTCTTCTTCCCGCCCTCTATAGTGGTGAAGAAGGTGGGAAGAGGAGAGCGTCATGACCTGGCCCCGCCCATCCTAATTCCAAAGAATATGAGGATCTTGCTGCAGGGTAGAGCATAGCTTCTTGTTAAAACCAGAACCCACCACAAGTTGAACTCCATTGACGGCTTGGGTGGAAGGGTAATATCCAACGACGTCGCTACATGCTTCATGCATTGAAGGGGCAGTCAAGCAACGAACTACCTGAAATGCTCTTAGAGTGACCGCACATATAATAGAAGTAAATATCCTGGGACTCTACCTCATGGTTCCTTGACAGCTGTGCGTAGAGACATTCCGTACAACCACCTTCTCCAAGGTGATCGCCTGGTCCCGTACATCTATATAATAGCTCATTAAAAAACATCATCATGTGCTTCAGAAGGGGGCGCATTTTACTGGGCTGGGCCACGTCATGTCTGATTGTCTGAACCCTCTCAGCGAGACAGCGCGACATGTCTTAATGTGACTCAGTCAACGTCAGAACATGTTACTTCCTGTGCGACATAACCCGCTTTTCATGCGTCACAGCATGACGTGGCTGCTTCGATGGTGAACCAACCCTCCCTGAGGCATCTAGCAACTCAAGTACTTCCTATTTCAGTGAATCTCATCGTAAAGAAAAGAAAAATCATACTTTAGGTTTGAGCAGCTTTCATGGCAGGGTCTACATTGTGTACCGTCCTGGTAATGAGACACACTGCAATTGGTGAGACAGACGAGTTCGTCATTGGAAATCAGCTGAACGTTCCGGCATGACAAGCAGTCCTGCTCTGATGGTCCTGAAGAACGATAGCTTTTTTGTATGCTCTGCCAAGATATTGTTGGATCAAGAATACATATGGCAACCAAGGCTTACGTGGAACAGCCAGTTAGCGGACCCACCCAAGTGAAACTCGATTTAGGGTTCATCCATATCTTCCAGAAGTTTCTCTCCGTCACGATCGCCTAACAACCTGATTTACCATAATGCGCAGGGCGTGGCGGCATGCTTCATTAGAGTATGGCACACGATGCTTTTGTGGGGAATGTGTCCATTTGAGACAATTGTCATCTTGCCTTGTACTGGGAAAAGGCATGTTTGCGATTGTTCCGAAACGGAACTATCCTATAAGAAGCGGCAGCCCGCAGACACTTATGTCCAGATGACGCACGCAGCCGCGCCCCTCAATCTACGGGATATGTATGGAGTGTATTTAATGGGGAAAAGATGAAAAAAATCAGTCTTTTCGGATCTCGTTTTCAGGAAAACAGCGACAATATCTATGCGCACTTTCGGAATTACTTCTGTTGAATGCGTGGAATGATGGGAAGATGTTGCAGGGCATATTCTACGTAGAGAGCATATTCTTAAGCTGATCACAAGGGCGGAGCCAGTTGAACCATTGCTCGATTCTCATTGGTGAATAGCACTTTGCAGGATGGCAAAGGAAGGGGTACGTAACACCACCTTTATGATCAGCGTGAAATGTGCTTTAGCAGAAACTTTCATATAGGAAAGCGATGAAAACTTCAAACCTGAACATGTGAGCACTCGGCGTAGCAAGGGAGACATTTCTTGGTGGTATGATCGTAGTAAAACCTGAAAACACCGTAAAATTAGACTATTCTATTGATTTATCCGTTCCACTACATCATACATTTCATCTTGCTTTCCAAAGAAGCAATGAAAGCTCACCCCTCTTCCGGACATTCCTTGACACATTTATCCTCCAACTGCCAATAACGACATTTTGTACACATTGTGGGACCACGACCCCAGCATCCATTACTCTTGGTCACAGGTCTGATTCACAGAAACCCTGGCCGACGTCCTTCTGTAATGGTACTATTTGTTGCGAATAAAACATTTTTATGCGAAAAAAAAAATCAGATTCCATTCAGCTCAAACACAGTGCGCACTTTGGTTAGCTGAAAGCATTGTTCCCGGTCGGGTGGGCGAGTCACGTCACGAAGTCAAGTGGGTGCGTCTCTTACTCCTCCCGAATTCTTCGTTGTAAGTGAAATGTAGAGGGAGCGGCATCGCTCAATGTCGTTCCGCCAACAGTAATCGCGAAAGGAGCGCTGTCCCCGGTACTCTCCCATGCAGACGACCTGATGATAAACCTTGTGGGTACTAGGCTACCTTCCCCAGCCCGCAAACTAACCATTCTCAGCTGCAACTACCACGAAACATAAATTTCTGCAACTTCTTCGCAGTTGGTACCCGAAGTAAACCTGGCCAGCCACAACACTGCGCTTTCAGGAAGGTAGCACGAAAAAAGTTCTACAGTACACAAGTGATACCCACGAAAAAGTAATATTATTGAGAAGATAACACGAAAAGTGCTGACCACATCTTGCATCCATGTTCTTAGTAATTAGCGCTTGAGCATTTGCAGCGACAATCTTGTCCCATTTTATCGTCTGAGCATAGCACAGCCCATGATTCTCCGTGATAATCACACTACCAGCTTTAATTTTCTGAAAGGTCTCTGATTAAAAATGAACTGAACTAAGGCAGACTTGAAGAACACGGATTTAGGGTAGATCGAGGGTACCAGACAGCAGGTCAACTAGTCATCCCCTATTGGACAGATCTCCTTACCCTGAAAACAGAATGCTGCACAGCCGTGTGCAGCGCTGCCAGTGCCTCTCCCCCTCCACCTCCAAATTTCTTCCTGCGGTACGACCTCACCTATCATCTTTCTAAATTTTCTCAATTTTCCGAAAGTTCGCCGGAGCTAGTTCCAGAAGTTGACTTCCAAAAACTGCTGCCGGACTGGAGGAAGTCGTGACCAACTGAGGGGGCAGGGCGAGGAATAGCGCACATGAAAGCGGCATGCGCAACCTTTCCTAAGGCTCCGAAAGGACTTAAAGGTAGCCAGCATGTGACATAGGAAGATGTGAACTGCACAGGATATGCCGTCTTGCACCCCTGACTACTCAGTCCACAAGTTCATCGACGTTTCTGTTTACGAACTAGTAGTACCTTAAGTTTTCGTAGACCAAGCTGTTCAAGGTTGTCGTTTTTATTGATAGCCAGAGCGAATTTAGACCTGAAAGTTCTGCTGAATATTTAGAAAGTTCAAGGAAGCGATAACTTGTCAGTTCTTCTTGGCTATTGTGCAAAATGCTGTTTGACGTTCAAATTTGAAAAATTCCAATGAAACCACTTATATGCGATGTTTTTACTGTCACAGGATTCCAAAGAGTACTGTAAGTGTACAGTGATGTTGGATAGGCTGAAGTGCAATGGAACTCACGTCACCAGACTGCGTCCTTCAATGAACTCGAGATTTTCTAGAAAGGAGAGGTTCCGCGGCGAAACGGTTTGCGTTGCCATTTGGAAATATTCGGAAATCATTCGAACTGATTTCAGAACGTTCAGATCCTCTGTGGTGTAGCCATCGACGGTTGACCTGAGAAGGAAATAGTTAACCTCTGGTCCAACAATGATGATGGTCATGAGGAGGAGCAGATAGAGAAAGCAAAGTGGTCCAAGCTAGCTCGCCCATAAAGCCACACGAAATGCCTCTCCAAAGAGGTATAAAAACGAATATAGCCTTCAGCCGATAATTACCTCATTTTCGAATCCTGTATATCTATGAATCCATCGATTTCCTCGCACCCGGTTAAGTTCCGCAGAATGGAACCAGTAAGTACCTTTGTCACTTGACAAACTGAAAGCAAATAACTATTACTTCCAGATCACCCTTGAGTCTCAAAATCCGCCAGCTCGCTTTACTGAGCAGCTCATTTTGAACCCATCACATTACAAAATAAAAACAAGAAACATACAGAATTAACTGGTTGTAAAGGGTAATAGTTGGAAAAACTGTGTAGTGGCATGTATAAGCGTCGCCACAGTCACAGCCCACGGTTCTGGGGTCAAACCTCGCATAAGTTTTCTTGCATTCCAGCTGAAGTTTTCATTCCTCTAGGACCACTTTCCTGGTACCAGACTCGTTTGCGAGA